AAATGACTGTGTTGACGAGGAGACATTTTGACACATAACTGTGCATTTGAACGTTTAAGCACAAGGCGCGAAAAAAAAAACTCAAGTTTAGTCAGGCGCTGTACGAGCAGGTGCGCGCCTTGTGTATCAGGCTGAAACTGTCTTAACGTGCGCATTTACCCAACAAGAATTCTGCCCCGCTGCATAATGCCTATGAATAGTTTAAAACCATTCGTTTTTAAACCACAATGCTTAAAATGCGTTTAAGCTTGCTTTTACACCATGACGCGCAAAACGATTTACATTTTTCTACCGGGTTATTTCCCAACCCTTAAGCGAATATATAGAGAAAATAACTTTAGTTTATTAAGATAAGTTTAAAAATAAGTTTAGACTGGCGCTGTACGAGCAGGTGCAATCAGGCCATAACCGTTTTAATGCGCGTGTAACGGAGGCCAGCGAGTAGGTGCTGTGCAGGTAAACCTCACTCCCCTGATCTCAAGAGACGCACTAGCGACTGACGCTAAGGGCTGCAGTATTTAGCCTCCTTGTTAGTGAGTCCGCCTCCCATGCTGGAGACCCACTTGGAACGAGAACGAGGTGTGGCGGTGAGGACCCGGGAGAGAGGGGTTACACGCACATTTGCCAAAATGAATTCTGCCCCACTGCTTAATGTCCCTGAACAGTTTTTTAAATGCATAATGCTTAAAATGCGTTTAAATGAAAAGCTTAGGCTACATCATGCCGTGCAAAACGATTGATATATTTCAACCGGTTTATCTCTCAACCCATAAGCGAATATACTTTGTTCAAACACAAAAAGCAATATACATCCATCAAGTTGTTAACTTGTTAATCAAACTAACCTAAAATCTGTGGGGACGATGACGCTGTGATTTTATAAATTCTGCTGAGGTGAAATTCAGTGCAGTCATGTATCGTGACTTTGCTGGTGATACACAGCCCTACATGTCACTTGTTAAAATTGCTTATTTCTCTGGATTTAAACATTCTTCGAAACAATTGATTTTATCTGCACCATGTGCCTGGTCCACCTGCTGTTTCACAACTACTCCATCATCAGCTTTAGTAAAATAACCTGATAGCTGGGGATCCTCTCTCCTCATTTTTTTTTAGAATTGCCCCTCTCTCACTTTCTTTTTAGAATAGTTTACATTTTTACTTATCGAAGATTGTTCTTTGCATGACCATTTCTAGAGTACACCAGAAGACGGCGGTACCATTTCCAGATTATGCCAGAACGAAGTGAAGAGAGGTGAATGTGGACATTGCAGCAATCACCTGATTGACACATGGTGCACGGGCAGTTCAAAAGTAAAAATATAGAATAAATGCATTTGATTGGTAAACCAAATTCAAACGTTACATTTTAATCTCTAAAGGAAATGCATGAAATATATGGAAAAGCTCCACTAAATAATAGCACTAATAAGTGAGGGGCGGGGCTTTGGCAATCAGCGCTACCAATGACCAGTCAATCTACTCCACAGCCAATCACGGGCCCTCTCCTTGTCTGGGCCCCGGGGCTTCAGCCCCACCTAGCCCAATGGTTAATGCGGCCCTGCTCATATGATGTATTTACTGTATTTGGCCCAAGTGTCCAAGTGAGGATGAAGACCACGTGTGTGTCGAACTTTTCATTACCTGATGGGACACACTTATAGTGTTGTAAAAATGCAATGTGTTTACATAGCTTTGTTTTTAATTTTAATTCTTTGCATTTTCAAATCAACTTCTAAATGTCTGTTCAGTATTTCCTATAACATGACACAATTTAATTTGTGGTTCTTCTAATTAAGTGATGAAAAGCAGTTGCAAATGTTGTACAAAATAAATATCACCACTACTCATCTTTGCACCAATAAAATGTGCAACACTTTGTTTTTCTACCAAATTATATGTAATAATATCTAATTATTATATTAATATTTAACTTACATTGGAAAGGTTTCCGTGACCTCTCACAAGATCTTGGCAAAATCTCACAATTTATTCCAAAACATGACGCATGATGGGATACACTAATGTTTTGTCCAAATACCCCCACTTGTGTTCTTTGCACTTGACAACTTGACTACTTATATGACGTATATTTCCTGTATTTGGGCCAAGTGTTCAAGTGCGGATGAAGACCACAAGTGTGTGTAAAACTTTTCATTACCTGATGGGACACACTTAAAATGCATGTGTTGACCTGTACATAGCTTTATTTTTATTTTAAATACTTTGCATTTTAAAATCAACTTCTAAATGTCTGTTCAGTATTTCCTATAACATGACACAATTTAATTTTTGGTGCTTCTAATTAAGTGATAAAAACCAGTTGCAAATGTTGTACCAAATAAATATCACCACTACTCATCTTAAACATTTGTGTTGGCATGAGCAGGGGTCTCATTTATAAAACTCTCTGTAGATTTCAACCTAAAAGTGTATGTATGCACAAAAGCTAGATTTTGTGTACGCACAAAAGTTTTCAGATTTATAAAACCAGGCGTACGCCAGAACCTGCGCAAAAATCCCTTTATAATTCCCAGTCAGGGGAAGATTGTGCATGCGTGCATCTCCACCCCGACTCCTCCCAGAAATCACCAAATATGGAGCTTACAACGCCTAGTTTTACTATGCATGACCTCATCTGCATATCATTTCCATGCATATTCCCATCCACGTGACACCATGTTGAACACCGTCAAAGGTACAAGACATTAAGGAAATATGAGATACAGACTATAAATGCCATTCATTGTATACAAATTTTTATTGCTAAAAATCATCCCGTATCCTTGTTTTAAAATAAATATATCAAAATATCCATAAAAACGGTTTAAAATTGTTCTCAGATAAATATTTTAGAATAGATTTAATCTTTCATTTCCACTGGCCAAATAGCCATAAATATATACAGTTTTGATGATAAGGTGAACATTTTTTAGATATTTTTAGTGGAAAAATGGGCCTATATTTATTGAAGTGTAAATTAAACTGTCAACGTCACGGACAAAGTATTTTAAAAAGGAAACATGCAAATCTTACAGTTTTCTTCAAGTTGTATCCTTCAAATACAGTGGTATTTTTCATAATGTTGTGGAGATGTCTTCACACGACATTAACTCCTCCGTGCAGCTGTGGTTGTACAGTAAGCTATTATCATTGGTCCTATTCAAACCGAACAATAGACCGTTCCACTGAATCCAGCAGTGTCTGCCACAATATTGAAGTGGGCATCATTGATCATTGTTCTCGCTAAAAATATTTTCTCATGAGATCTGCAGTTTAATTTAAAGATGAACTATTGTGCACCTATAGCACACTCCTCGCTGTCATTAAAACATAACATACCACAGGAAAAGTGATCAAGCGCATCCACTACAAATATGCGTAAACATATGCGTAATGACTTTATGTAATTTCAGTGTTTATTTCCATTAATGAGAGTGGAATATTTAATGTAAATGTGTGTATCGACAGTTTAAAATCGTCGTTTACTTCATTACTTTTCTCACTCCAGGAAAAAGAGTTTGTACGCATGGTCTTCTTGAATGTCTGCATGGTGCGTACATATTTACGCCGTTTATTTTTTATAAATCCAACCTGTATTTAGTGCTGACCACTCGTCCGATCACAGAAATGCATCTTATTACCAGGTCGAAAATGAAGCCAATTTGTCAAATTTATTTATATAGCACTTTACACAATAAATATAATTTCAAAGCAGCTTCACAGAAAGCCATACTGTTGTGCCTATAATGTCTTAAACTTAAGCAGTTTTAAATCTAAGATGTTTAATCAGGGAGACTTCATAATGTGAAACGAAACACTTCATTCGGCCTCTGGCTAAACAATCTGAACATGAACAAACACGTGTCTGAGGCTCCTCTCTGATTTACTGATGCGGCTGACATAGATTACGTTCAGGTTAGACGTGGCAGTGGTTCAGTCTCCGTGAGCTCAAACATGGAAGACAGGAGTGCAACAGTCAATAATAGTTGGTTTACGATGGTCACATGGCACAGTTACGAATTCGTCAGACCTGAGACTCTAAGGATATAATGGCAGATGAGAAGGAATATCATTAGCACTGATGCCATTCACTTCATACAGTAGGAAAAGTGTTTCTGTCAGACCGGACTAATACAGCAAAACCATGACTGAGGAATGAACGGTTTATGCTGTGCTAAAAGATGAGTCTTCAGTCCTGACTTAAACTGAGAGAGTGAGTCTGAGTCCTGAACAGTCCTAGAAAATCTGTTCCAGAGTTTAGTTCGTAGTTTAGTGATGTTTCTGAGGTGAAAGAAAGCACTGGTAATGTGACTACTGAAAGACAGTCTGCTATCAGCAGAAATACATAAAAATCACACCCCAGAAGACGGTGTGGATGCGAGACAGATATTGTGATATTTTAATTCTCTTCAGTAGCTTCAGATCATGCAAACGCTAGACGGCCGACAAGGTTTACAGACACGACACCGATCCAACAAACTGAACCTTTTATTAGGAGGTTCTGATTTCAGTATAAATCACACTACACATTTCCTTTAGAAAAATCGTTATGTACACTACAAGTGCTGACGAATCAAACAGAACCAAAGAAACCCTTGATATAAATAAGCTCTATGGAAAAGCCTGTAGTCTTTAAAAGAATTCTGTGTCATCTTACAAAATATATATATATGTTCATGTCAGCTCTAATAAGACTAAAGCCTACAACTGAAAATATATTATTCAAGGACCTGTTTGGATTTGAAGAATTTTCTCAGTGCAGCCGAGCCGAAGTGCTTGGATATTTCACAGTTACGGACAGGCACTGAGGAGCGAGTTACGAGCTACATTTGCCATGATGACAACCAGAAACAGGAGGGAGACAGAGAGAGATGTTGATCCTGTCTTACAGAAGGATTCTCTGCTCTTGTCAGACCGGTTACAAAGAAAGGAAAACCGGTAGACAGTAGAAATAAAATGATTGAATGAAGCGCCGTTTAAAAACCGCTCTGTACAAATCAGTATAAAAAGTCTTTGTGTGGTTCATGCAGGTGAGCTCTGACCACCTTTGGGTGCAGAGAGTCTGGGGGGCGGTCTGGCCTCAGAGGGGGCGTGGCCTGGGGCAGGGCCAGGGGCGGAGCAGTCCAGCTGATTGACAGTCCAGAGCTCAGTTTGGGGCCGGGTTTGGTTATTAGTGTGGAGTGTGTGTGTTTGGCTGTGTTCGCAGAGTGTGTGGGTTTGGTTATGTTAGTAGGTTGTGTTGGTTTGGCTGTGTTAGTAGGGTGTGTGAGTTTGGTTGTGTTAGTAGGTTGTGTTGGTTTGGTTGTGTTAGTAGGGTGTGTGAGTTTGGTTGTGTTAGTAGGTTGTGTTGGTTTGGTTGTGTTAGTAGGGTGTGTGGGTTTGGTTGTGTTAGTAGGTTGGGTTGGTTTGGTTGTGTTAGTAGGTTGTGTGAGTTTGGTTGTGTTAACGGGTTGTGTTGGTTTGGTTATGTTAGTAGGTTGTGTTGGTTTGGTTGTGTTAGTAGGGTGTGTGAGTTTGGTTGTGTTAGTAGGTTGTGTGGGTTTGGTCGCATTAGTGGGTTGTGTTGGTTTGGTTATGTTAGCCAGTTGTGTTGGTTTGGATGTGTTAGTAGGTTGCATGGGTTTGGTTGTGTTGGCAGAATGGCTGAGTTTAGTTGGTGTTGAGGGCGTGTAGCCCAGTTTGGGGACAGAGGAAGAATGGAGATATCTGGAGGCGGAGGTGTGTGTGTGTTTGGTTGGTGCTGGTGTGTGTGTGTGTTTGGTTGGTGCTGGTGTGTGCGTGTGTTTGGGTGTGTGTGGACCGGCTGTGGGGTTGCTTGACGGGTGTGACGGAGCGCTTGGACATTCTGCCGTGTGGTGTGCTTTGGGTCGGCCGTCAGAGGAGACGAGAGGCGGAGTCGAGCTGTTACTTCCAGGAGGAGGTTTGGGCGGTCTGTCAGCAAGTAGCTCCGCCCGCTCCATCTTTATTTGCATTACGCACGGCGACTCTTGCGCAGGTCTGCAGTCTGTGTTTGCAGCTCTGCCATTCTCGCCAGCTGACTCCTGCTTGATGTGCTGCTTCAGCTCCTCGCCTTCCTCACGAGCCTCCTCTACCTCGGGCTGCTGATGATACTGCTTCAAACGCACGTGCCAGGCAAGGCTGCACACGGCCGACACGCTCTTGAACTGGTGAACTACGTTGCGAGGGATAAAGTAGATGTCGTTATCGTAGAGCTGGATACGAGCGTAGCGGATTCCCTCTCGCCTCAGCTGATTGAGTTTAGCATCATCCACCCACTGCACACACTGGACAGAGAGAGAGAGAGAATGAGCAGGACACTCATCAAACTGCGCATCGTCTACTTTTTGTTTTTTTTAACTCAAATACCCCTAAATCATCGCTCTGTGTGTGTAAGGAACTGTGATGATTCACACAGTGGCAACATTCTGGCATTGCTGATATCTGCTCTTCTGGACTAAAGTGACTTGTCTATAAAGACTTGTCATGTTAGTCAATTTTAACTAACCCACGGTGAACAGAGGTTTTGTTTAAGCTTGGATGGCTGTTTCGCAGTGAACTCTCGCAGGTCGCTGTGTCTTTGGGTCATTTGGGCTTGGATCATAATGAGAGCCACTTTATGGAGTTATTAAAGTGGAAGGTGTGGGTCACAATATTTACATTTTATTTTCAATATAAAGCATTTGAATAGTATTTAGGTTTATTGTGAGCTTGTCAGGTTTGCTGTTTTTCCTGGCATCTGGCAACACAAATGCACTGCACACACAGAAAAGAGACTAATCTCTGATTCGTGTTTAAATACATCATTAATAACTGGTTGTTCAGTTCAGTTCTGTACACACTGCATCCGGTTATCACTACCTGAATTCATCAGGAGTTAATTTGTTTGTAGAATGCAGTTATCATGCCCATAAATTACTCTATAATGTGTGTACAGAGCAGGATTGAGCACTAAAGGACATTGTTAAAGCACAATGAATTTAGCTGTAATGTGTATCTGAGAGTTTAGAGCAAAGTACAACATATTACAGTCAGACGTCAAACACATATCTCTTCCCACGCCTGGACGGCAGTGCTCCGGATCGCGCACTAGCGAGGGTCTCACAGAGGATGTGTTCCGCAGGGTTAGGGTCAGTACAGGAAGTGGACCTCACCTGAGACAGAGGCGGCTCATACAGGTCTAACTGCAGCCGCTGCACCACATCAGGGAAATCAGCCGCGTGGAAACAGATCACGTCTTTGGTTATGCGTGGAGGATCAGCACTGCAAGAAAACACAAACAATCCCGATCACCAGCTCACACCAATAAACCACAGCAGACAGATGTTTCATACAGCTTCCAGAATCACAGCTGTGTGTCGGCTGAATCTCTCTGTGTGTATGTGTGTGTGTGTGTGAGAGTCTGTCTGTAAGTGTGTGTGTGTGTGTGTGTGTGTGTGTGAAAGTCTGTCTGTAAGTGTTAGGTGTGTGTGTGTGTGTGTGCGTGTGTATGTGAGTCTGTCTGTAAGTGTAAGTATGTGTGTGTGTCTGTCTGTAAGTGTGTGAGAGTGTGTGTGTGAGTGTCTGTCTGTAAGTGTATGTGTGTGTGAGTGAGTGAGTGAGTGACTGAGTGAGTGTGTGTGTGTGAGTCGGTCTGTAAGTGTGAGTGTGTGTGTGTGTGAGTCTGTCTGTAAGTGTAAGTATGTGTGTGTGTCTGTCTGTAAGTGTGTGAGAGTGTGTGTGTGAGTGTCTGTCTGTAAGTGTATGTGTGTGTGAGTGAGTGAGTGAGTGACTGAGTGAGTGTGTGTGTGTGAGTCGGTCTGTAAGTGTGAGTGTGTGTGTGTGTGAGTCTGTCTGTAAGTGTAAGTATGTGTGTGTGTCTGTCTGTAAGTGTGTGAGAGTGTGTGTGTGAGTGTCTGTCTGTAAGTGTATGTGTGTGTGAGTGAGTGAGTGAGTGACTGAGTGAGTGTGTGTGTGTGAGTCGGTCTGTAAGTGTGAGTGTGTGTGTGTGTGAGTCTGTCTGTAAGTGTAAGTGTGTGTGTGTGTGTGAGAGTCTGTCTGTAAGTTTGAGTGTGAGTTTGTGTGTGTGTGAGTCTGTCTGTAAGTGTAAGTATGTGTGTGTGTCTGTCTGTGAGTGTGTGTGAGTCTGTCTGTAAGTGTGTGTGTGTGTGAGTGAGTGAGTGAGTGAGTGAGTGAGTGACTGAGTGAGTGTGTGTGTGTGAGTCTGTCTGTAAGTGTGAGTGTGTGTGTGAATGAGTGTGTGTGTGTGTGTCTGTCTGTAAGTGTGTGTGTGTGTCTGTAAGTGTGAGAGAGTGTATGTGTGTGTGTGTGTGTGTGTCTGTCTGTAAGTGTGAGTGTGTGTGTGAATGAGTGTGTGTGTGTGTGTGAGTATCTGTGTGTGTGATCACTGTCTGTCGGGCTCTTCAGCTTCAGATTGGAGAACGTCCCCCACGGCAGCGTCCGCTACATACATACACACACACACACACACACACACACAGATCAATATGCTGCTGCCAAAAGAAAAGTGTGTGTGAAAGAGAGACAGAGGAAAACACACCTCCAGGAAGGGCGACTTCTCCAGCATACTGAGGAACTCTGGGAAATAATCGCCCACCTCCTCGTCCACGGCGCCCACCAGACTGATCTGCCTCATAGCACCGGCGCGGTATGTCCCGTGAGAGTAACTCCTCCTCACCTGAACACACACCACATCTCCGCTGTCAAATGCCATGGTTTCTGGATCTTATTTGTCTGATAAAAGTCCATAAAAATCTCTTGAAATACAATAAAGTATATTCAGAGCAAAATTATTATCCGAAGTGCTGAGACATTTGCTTGTTTTTCATCTACAGGTAAAGATTTACAACAATAATTAGTTCCCATTTTTGCATTGGTCTGAAGACAAACAGTAGACAGAATGAATGAGAATGTAACTCCACTGTCTGACAGCAGGTGGCGCTGATGGAACAGCAGGAATAGAGCTGTTTCCCCAGTAACCGCTGTAAACAAAGCAGCACTGCACTTACAAACACTGCTTTGTTAGGCCTGATCAGACAGAAGGTGGTTTTTAGGTTTGAAAATGCGAGGCACACTGCACTGACTTTTTTTAGCTGACTTATTTAATTTAGAAAAAAGCAGTGTGTTCTGTCAATCTAATCAAGGGTTATAGCGCGAGTGCTCTAGAATCTTTGGTTTGCTGTTAAGTGAACGGTCATATTACCAGAAACTTTAAACACTGAGGTTCGTGAAGTCAGCTCTGGGTAACCTGCAGCAGCCAGCACAAGTTTCTCCTCCATCACTGCAGTCTCCTGACGTTCCAAGCAACCGTAAACTTCTGTCACCACAACGGTCTCCAATCATTCGATTGGACAATGGAAAAAATGCGAATGAAGATGGCGCTTTTCTGCTCAGAGTTTTTTTTTTTCAACTTCAGGTGCTCAGAGCTTTCCTACCAAAACACGAGGCACAGCAGGCGGCTAAAACACTAGGCGCCTGGGGCACATAAACAGCGCGCAAAACGCTCACTGCCAATAGAAAACAATTTATAAAAAAGGTGCCTCTCACTAGAGACCTGCGCGGGACGGATTTTTCAGTCTCGCTCCCGCCCGCTCCCATAGAAATATATGTTATCTTGTCCTGCTCCCGCCCGCAAAACCCTCATAAAAGCAACCTATATAGATTTTTTCAGTACATCCATGAAATTTACATTACCTCTGTAACATCTCCTAAGTTCCACAGCATACCAGTATAAACGCTCCTGATAAAATATTTATTTAGGCTAAGCATCAACATTCACAAAGCACTGTAACAGAAAAGCAAGCATGGGCTGCTGCATGCATGGTTTGGCATGGCATGGCAGAATGCGAGCAAACAGGCTCCCTTTATCATCACTAAAAAGCTGACATCTCAGTTCATCGCGATCTCATAAAACTCTGTTATAACACAACGAATATATGCACAATGAATCTTTCACAATGTCTACACTGTGTGTTATGAGAGGATTCGTGAGCATGCATGCAAATTTCAGCGCTGCCGGTGACTGCGCAAGAACTCCAGGGTTTTGAGCGGTGAGTGGATTCTAACTTAATCACCTCTGATTGGCCATTGCATTGCAGAAATCAACAGATCTGTCTGTGATTGGCTACATTGCTCAACGCTTTGAACACGTGTTTTAGGTGGAGGCTCTGCCTATGCTTGCGCCTGTTAATCATTTTTACTTTATATTAGTTGTTGTTGTTGTTTTTGGGCAATAGATGAATAACAATTTATATGTTTTTAGATATTTTATGTTTAGATATTTATTTTACGGGAGTCCCGCGAATTATTTTATTCTCCCGCATCCCACACACACAAGAGTTTCTACCTATAAAACTCGTGACTAAACTATAAAGATGCTCTAAAGACAACAAGTCGCTGTGTAGTCCCAAGTTTTGGAAAAACAGTCTTTGTATCGCCTTCCTTCTGATCTCAACATTAGAAAACAGTGGATGAACTTTATTTTTAATAAAGTTCCAGTCCGCGTCAGTAAGAGCTTGGTCCAACTGTTTTCATTACATGATCACTATTGCTTTGTCTTTTATCACAGATCTTTTGATATGTTCTGAGTATTTATTCGTTTTTTACCTAAATCACTGCAGGATGTAGGCTGTCAAAAAAACACAACTGTTATCCAATCATCACAGTGGGCATTTACGTGTCATTCCCCGCTGTGCGTGCATGAGAGTAACACGCTGCACATTGTTTACAAGCAGAGGAATGATACACGCATGCGTCATGGTACTGTCGTGAACACAGCAGAGAATGACACGGAAGAGAAGAAATTGTTGAATGAAGTCATTATTTTTGTTTTCTTGCGCACAAAAAGTATTCTCGTAGCTACATAAGATATGATACGGTTAAACCACTGATGTCACATGGACCATTTTATCAATGTCCTTACTCAGGCACGTGCACACATAGACGTCAAAGGGGGTTTGAGCACCTGCCCTTTTTCTTCCTCGAGAGAAAGTGCCCTTTTTTTCTGGGGAGTTTTTTTTCTTTATGATATACATATATTCATTTATTTTTTCATTTGAGGTATTTAACAAGTGCCATGAAGATGACTTGTTACAAGTGCAGGGGCGCGGGAAGATGTTTTCGGTTGAGGGTGCTGTGTGTGTCTGTGTTGGGTGAAAGGGGAGGGGGGCGGGGGGGGTCACCTCATTTGACAACTCCAAGTCTCCACAAAGCACTACAAGTGCGTCGATATGAACACTTGTTTAAGTGACATACACACTGGGAAATTTGACTGCATATCACATTTTTGAAATTATCGATAGTAGCTGATCAAAGCCCCCTCAGCACCCCTACTTCCCGCGTCCCTGTACAAGTGGCTGACTTTAATATTTCAGTTTCCAGACACGCGACTAAACGTAGTATTAAAACTGATTTGCAAAAGGTTTTTGTAGATCAAGGAATTTTACCTGATGAATCTGAGGAGGGTGGGAGTGGAGATAAGACCTCTGTTATTGAGGGCTCTGATGTAAAGTCACTCCCTGTTCCTGAGACAAAACCAGTTGAGCTTCCGTTGGCAATTAAATTGAAAGAATTAGACCTACTGGTTAAAAAGCAGGAATATGATAATCAGATGTTGTGGTTGCTTGAATTAGAGACTGATCGTGAACGAGAGCGTAGGTCATTTGTTCCACAGTTCTTGTCTGATAATGTTCCGGTGACCCCTTCTCCTTTGCCTGGGAGGTCTCCGGCAACATCTCAGTCTGCCCCAGCTGCTTCGACTCCTGGTGATGGAGCAGGGGTAGCAGATTTTGATGTTAGTAGGTATATCAAATTGGTTCCAAAATTTCGTGAAGCAGAAGTAGATTCCTATTTCACAACGTTTGAACATGTAGCTGTGAAACTTCAGTGGCCAAAAGATATGTGGGCTTTACTCCTACAATGTAATTTGGAGGGTAAAGCCCAGGAAGTTTGCTCTTCTTTGCCCATTGAACAGTCATTAGATTATGACATTGTTAAAACTGCCGTGTTTAGAGCTTATGAATTGGTACCTGAGGCGTACCGCCAGAAGTTTCGGGACTATGTGAAATCAGCCAAACAAACATTCGTAGAATTTACCAGAGAGAAGGGTAATCTCTTTGACAAATGGTGTTGTTCTAGTAAAGTGTCCACATTTGAGCAACTTCGAGAGTTAATTTTGGTAGAGGATTTTAAAAGTTGTTTGCCGGAGAATATTGTTGTGCACTTAAATGAGAAAAAGGTGACTAAGCTGTCTGATGCTGCTGTTGTCGCTGATGAATTTGTGCTAACGCACAGAAGTGCCTTCCTTCTGTGCGCCGGAGAAATCGATCTCCCGCTGACGATACCGTTACGGATTCGGTTTGGGCAGGTCATTCAAAATCAGAGAGTTTGTGCAAGCCTGATTCAAAACATACGGGTGACAAGCGTGTATGTTTTTATTGCCGGGATCCAAATCATCTAATTTCTGACTGTGAAGATTGGAAGCAGAAAAGTTTGACATCCGAGACTAAAAGAGCTGCGCTTGTACAGTCTCTGCCTATGGTGAATGATGCTGAAGTGGCATCTTTTCAACCTTTTCTTCTGTCTGGTTCTGTATCCCTGTTTGAGTCTGACTTAAGACTAATCTCGATTTTAAGAGATACGGGATCAGCTCAATAATTCATATTGGGGAGTATTCTGCCTTTCTCCACTAACTCCTATGCTGGCACTGATGTGTTGGTATGCGGCATTGAGATGGCTTGTGTTAATAATCCTCTTCATCATGTTAACTTGAAGTCTGATCTTGTTAACTGCCCTGTTAAATTAGGAGTATGTGAACAGCTGCCTATTGCTGGAGTTGACCTTATCTTGGGAAACGACCTCACATGTGGTGAAGTCTTTCCATCTTCTATCGATGTACACAACATTAGTGTTATTGAGCAGCCTGACACTACTAGTCAGTGCCCTGAGTTTCCTCCTTGGCATAGTGATGCATTCACAGTCACAGGGACTTGGGGATGTTTTTGACCCTTCTGAAGAGTTTATGCTTCCAGTGACTATTCCTGTAGAGAATGAACTGTCTGTTAAGCCTGAACTTTGTTCTGAAGCAGTGATGGTACCCATGATCTCTTTAGAAGTCAACTGGGAATTGCTTAAAGCACAAGAATCAGAACCTTCGTCAGAGAATTGTGTTAATGTTGACTTGGAAACTAGGAAAGTATCTAGTGTACCTTGCTTCTATGGAAAGGGGTTGATTGTGAGTGAATGGAAGAAAATGTTGTCACTGCCCTTCAGTCTCCTCTCCCCTTTATCAAATGGGTGTTACAGTGTTTTTTATGCTTGTATGGTTCACACCCAGGATTTAGTTAGGAGTTGTTTGTTGTTGCTCCTTTTATTAATGTGCTCTGTGTTTACAGAAAATGTATTGAAACTACTGAGTGTGAACGTGCAGAGAATTTTTTTTTGAGACTTTGTTATCTCTGTTTCTAATTGCATTCTGCCATTCAAATGGACACTGGATGCTTATACAACATGTGTGGGAACAGAATTTCTGTGTAAAAAAAAAAAAAGGTATAACCCTGGCCTATCTATCAAAGTTGAAGTGTCAATAATTGATTGACATCCAGTGGGATGTAAACTTTAACGGTGGGGGTGTTACGTCACAGGACCTATATAAGTGGGAGTGTCTCTTTTGTGCACGTG